TTGGTTTCTTACCAGTCCAAAGCTCATATGGAGTCTTCGGAACGGATTTGGTTTGAACCCGATTCAACACATAAATCGCAGTCTCCAATGCGTATTGTTGAGTTCCTAAATGCCACCTTCAACAAGCACGGATATCGACTTATCCTTCTTAATCAGTTCTTCAGCCCTCTATAACATATTGTTGAGTTCCTAAAGGCTAACGTTTAGCTTATTCATGTTGTAATTCATGATAAACTGATTGAAGGATGGAGGTAAGGAATTGAGGACAGCATCAATTTTGATGTCATGATCTAGCCCTGACCCGAGAGCCTCCAGTTCATTGATATAACCCATCATCTTTAGACAATGGTCATGAACCTATTGGTTCTCGATCATCTGTGCGGTCATAAACAATTTTAAGACCTTTTGTCGAGTAGAATGGTTATGCTCTTTGTACATAGTTTTCAGACTGTCCAATATATCCTTGGACACTTTGATCTTATCGAATTGTCGCTGTATCGGATTGTCTAAAGAGGCTATAATATAACACCGAGCAAGAGAATTTTTTTCTTTCCATTATTGATACTCTCTTCTTCGGGCCTCAGAAGCCCTATCACCCGAACGATTTGGAGCAKGGCTCTTAGAAATTTTGTCCAATTTTCCGAACGTCAAAACCAGCATAAGGTTTCAGAACTAGTTAGCATAATTAGGGCCCTTGAGTTTGTTATCATCTAACAATTTGGTGAAGTTTCTGTTTGCCATTTCTCGTAAAGGCAAAACAGATTTATAAGTCCACAACCTAATTAATTCATGCCATCACATAGAAAGGGCTTTTAATCTATGTTCCATTTCCATTTTGGGCATCTCTGATATTCCCTCTGATTTCAGTGATGTAGACAGTTGTGTCTCTAGAAATGTGGGAAACCACGTGGGGTGCATGGAGCCAACTGTTTCAGCTGCAAAACCCCGCCACGTTCTGTGAATGATCTCATCCACTCATCTTATGAGCTTTGGCCTTTGTCAGAAAAGGTTTATAGCCATTTTAGGTTAAACATTTTTGTCCAGTAAGTGTTCACCCATCATGTTCGTGAACGCCAAGGTGTCRTGAGAAAGTATTCCATTTTAGGATAGGCCCCTCCCACATCGGTTTATGACGCCCCTATCATCTCATGAAGATCCAACCAACTGCATTAGCAAATGAGTAACTCAATTTTATGGTGCATCTCCACCCACCAATACAGCCAACCTTCATACTAATGATGGAAGGCCTTTAGAGAATTCATCATATGAAATTCCTTATCACATGCACTTATATTTAATGGAGGGAACCCCCTAGATTTGATTTAGGTCAAACAAAGTGGCTCCCACTGACTTTCATAAAGCCAGATTCAAAGTGGGCCCAAAATGGTTAGGCTTTCGGGGTGTTTCTCTTGGGGAGAAACTGAAGCGGGCCCACTGATAAGGGAGATCATCCAATGATCTTAAGGGCACCATGGCAATGATGTGCATTCAGCGATGGTGTTTGAAAGAGCCACTATCGAATTAGCATGGGCCAAGCACTTATGGCGCATGTATGCAGTACATCACAACACATACATCACATGCATGGAATCCATAATTGATCCAATCAATTAAATAATTGTAAAACCCATAATTAAAATTTAAAAACCTTTTTAGCCCATTTAATGCCCATAATATTAGCTAGGTATATGGGCTGAACTACAAAGAGCAGTTCAACCCATATAGCATTTATGCTGAATTGGGTTAAAGCAGTTTTAACAAATCAAAACTGGGTTTTACAGATGTGGGACGAATTGCATCTTGCAATTAACCATCAACCCCTCATCACATGAAGGAAATTTTAGGGCTGAGAACATCCCCCATCGAACCACAGATTCGGTACAACCAATTTGGTCCAATCTGGTTCGAATGGGTCTAGGGTTTGATGTTTAATTCAAGATCCAATTCAAGAAACATGATATGAAAATAAAGAAACGGATACATGACAATCAAGAATTAGTAAATAATAGCAAGAGGGCTATTCGTAAGGTTGCAACCCTGCAAAACAAAAATTAGTTCACAGTTTGCAGTTTCCAAAACTACAAATCGTAGATCGTCGAACCCAAATTTGCAAAATTTTCTCCTTCGCGCTTCCAACTTCATGTTCAAATGAAATAAAATAGAAAACGTAATTTTTCTATTAATATTACATCAGATTCGAATTCCTATACATTCCATCTAAAATTAAAAAAATAATAAAAAATTAATTAGAGACCAAGAATGAATAGAAAAAACGCAGATGCATAGATTTCTTGCGTTGTAGAAAGATTTCGATCTCCTCCATATGAACAACCCTTTATATGGGGGAAACATATAAATTGCCTCCATACGAACATCGCTGCAAAAAAATTAGTTACACCAGAGCCATTTATAACCATTATTCAGCTTTTTATGAATTGTCAGATTAAAAAAATACAAACAAAACAGTAAATATGATACATGGGGAAAACATATTGTGACTTGCAAGTATCTGCAGAAAATAATATTTTGAGTTCATTCTTACAGATACTTAACCCTTAATATTTAGATTAACTAAAGTCTTCTCTTTTCTTTAACTGGCATTGATTTTATTCCCTTAGGAAAAAGCATTTGCACTTTCCAATTTGTGCATTCCAAATCATATCCYGTCGTTCTGAACTGCTCATGGACTAACAGTCAAGAGTGTATAGTTGTTGTATCCTAATGCAACACATCATCATCAGAGCTCCTCTTGGACTCAAAAACACTATAGTTCCCTTCCTTCCAAATAATCCAACTGATTACTAGGGTCAATGATTTGTACCTCATGTATTTCTTGTATTTAGAGCCTATTTGTTTTTCTATTTGGTTTGAGATCCTCTTTCTTTTTTTTTTTCTTTTACCTTTTTCCTCTTATTCATAAAATTTTTGCTTCAGACCAAATGAAAAGAATCAAGCATGCCACATCTAATAAGCCAGAATGAATTATTTAATAAATAGAAAAAAGACCATAATAGAGAAGATCACAACATTTATACAAAGACCAAGAATAATGGGAACTAACCAACAGTATCAAGGGTTCTGAGAACCAAATAGAAAATGCATACCTGAAAAGAGGAAAGAAGAAATCAAATGCAAGGCCTAAGCATTATAAAGGTAGGAACTAATCTAGATAAAAGAAAATGCAATAARAAAGAAGAAACCCTAAAATTTCGGCAAAAATGAAAAGGGAGAGAGACAAAAATGAATAAGGAGAGAAGAACCTAAAATTTCTTGGCAAACCCATACGTGCGACAATTTCATACGTGTGTGATAAAAGATTCCATTTATTSAAGAAATAGAATGCCACATACACTAATCGTTAGAAGATCTCTTAGGCGTTTTGTCAAATAGCTAATGGGTTCAAGCCATGAAGCGATGAAAATGACAAGATAAAGGGCTCCAAAATGTTGAACAACGTCGTTAACATGAAAACGGTATATAAAAACTTTCCTGCTTGTTGCTGGCAATGTAGTGATGATGGAGCTGGATGGGAGCATTTGACCCATACCCAACCAGTGTCGGGTGGCTGCCCTGCAAGGCATTGGTGCAGCTAGGCTGGGAGAAGAGCTCATCGAGTCAATAGGGCCCTCGTTTGAGTTTCTACCTCGCAGTCGCAGTCACAAACCACAACTGAAAAGCAACCCAGTCCAAAGTCCCACATCGCCCGGTTGAAAGAAATGAGTGCTTTTAATTTTAAACTGTTAGAAAACGCTTAGTGTCTCTTCGGAGACATCCGATGAATTTGGAASGATACAGAGAAGATTAGYATGGGCCCTGCGCAAGGATGACACGCACAAATCGAGAAATGGTCCAAATATTTTTTTCCAATTTTTCCCAGAATACAGTTGCTTTGCCTAATTTTTTTCTAAAACTGAACTTCGTTGCATCTCCATTAAACTGCCTCTCTATGTCTTCGGATTTTTCAGTTTTGATCGATGATGAACTCTGAGAAAGATTCCATTAGAAGATTCGGAAGGCTAAGCCATCTGGATCAACCCCTTTTTGGCGTTCTTCGTCCATTTTAAAAATTTCTGCTTTTGGGGTGGAGAAACAAGGTAGGGTTTCTGTGTACCTTTCAAAGCAAATTCGGATAAATTTTTCTCTTAGCTTTCCTCCTTTCTGAATTATTCAGTGAGAAAACTCTATCACTGCCATTTCAGAACTCTTGGCGATGAAATTAATGATCTTTAACATTAGAAAGTGTTAGTTTAAGGAAAAGAAAATACAGAAAAGTGTGTTGAAGGCTCATTAAACATGTCACGCGAAGCATCTTCTATGGTTTGGAGGTATTCAGTGGAGAGGATGATAGTGTTCTTGTTTGTCTGATCTTCATGACCTAGGTTGTAAATCTATATCTTTTTAGAGCTATTTTAGTCACATTAGCGGAATACTTATTTGTGGTTATTTTCAAGCTTTTCAATAGTTCTCTAATGACATACATACAGATCTTTCACATATTAATTCTCATTTCTGGATTGTTTTCTCAACCGATTTCATGGTCCCTATTCCCTAATGTTATTATGCGTTGCAGCTCTTAACATTTCAAAGCCCTTACTGCTGCACCATTTCTCACTAGATTCATATAACTGAATCTTGCACACAACTGATTAAGCATTCCTTGATCTTCTGTGTTTAATGGAACTCGGTCAACGTTGTTATTGTTTAGGGGATGTTTGGAACTGTGACGGTTTAAAAAAAAAAAAACGGTGCCACATTGGATCCATATAGGCGTTTCAACAAATGCTCCTATATTTCATTGTTTGGTTTAGGCGAAAAATCGGGTATGCCTTATAAATCGGGACCCCACCGATGCATGAAACATCAAATTTCCTCCAACGGTTGACTGATTGACGATTACGTGTATCCTATGTGGTGCTTACCTGTCACCACATACATGAAAATCGGTGATGAAAATCACCTTACCAAAAATTTATCAAAAAAAAATTAATCACTTTACTAAACAGCATGGTGTTGCTCACTGCCTACATGACAAAAACACTCCCAAACAAAATTAAAACGTATTTTTTTGTAAAAAAGGGGTCTTGGAAGCATGGACATTTTTTCTTGAAAATGGGTCCCAATAAATGCCCACACTTCCAAACACCATTTTTGTCTATTTTTTTTTCAAAGAGTTGACTATTAAAGCTATGTTTAGTGTGAAGAAAAAGATAGGGAAAGGAAGGGAAAATCAAAGAAACCTATACAAGGTTTGTAAAGGTTTTTCTACCTTTCCCTTTCTTTCCTTGTATTTTCCTTCAAACCAAACATAGTCTAAAGGATTGCACATTCTTGGCATCAGCATTTGTGCCCTTATCTTTTTATTTTGTCATTAATTCCTGGCTTATCTTTAATTGAGGTAATTTGTATTTCCTGCTTCCAATCATTTATTTTCAATTTCCATTTCTCTTCCATCCATCTCACTTGGTATATATTTACTGCATCAACCGTTTTTTTTTTTTTTTTCTGAACTTTGTTGCTGCACATTGTTATAAGGTTAGCATAGTTTTTCTTTTCTTTTTTTAAGCCAACAAAGGAAAATACATTCATCAGAAAATCAGTACAAGTCACAGTCCTTGACAATAGGAGATAAAAAAATCAGGATAAATGGAGCAGGTGAAACAAGAACAAATAGAACAACTATGTTGTGACAGTGTATGTGCCGCTGTATTAGCTGTTCTAGGAGTGTAGGAGTGTAAGGGACTTTTGCTTCGATGAATGCCCTTTGTAAGTGTCCTGTAGTCCACAATAGTTGTGTCCATGTGCCAGGGAGGTTCAATGGAACCATCCAAAAAGGAGTTTAATTATAGTTTTGACAATCGGAATAGAGGTGTAAAGTGGGTGCCCTCTCTGCTGAAAAATTTAGGGGTCGGTTCGTGCCGTGCCGTGGGTTGTGTATCGAGCCAAAGTTATTTATTTTTAAAAAATTGATAAAAAATTTAAAATTTTAATTTTATATGAATTTTGTGTATATAATTGTTTATATATACAATAGTTAAATAAAATTAAAAAAAATTATTGATTTTATTAATATATTATGACATAATTATAATTTATATAATATTATATAAATATTTAAAATATATATAAATAATATATATGGGCCATAGGTTGGGTCGTGCTGGCCCGTGGGCCACGGGCAGCACGACCTGCTCGGTTGTGCCATGCCATGCCGACCCATAGACCTAAAACCCCAGGCCCAACATAACCCGCATGATCGTACTAGGCCTAGCACGACCCACGGACTATCATGCCAGGCCGATCCAAATTTGTGCCGGGCCACGGGCAACACGACCCGATTTACACCTCTAATTCGGAATCACCCTCAAGCATGAAGGAAGAAAGACCAAGAATAGTAGTTATGTAGGGCGATTTGGCCCGACCTAATAATAGAGGGACAGTGGACACGACCTAGCTGATAGGACCGACGTACCCAAGTCTGTGACGGACCGAGCTCAGATAACCGAACCACCTCGGGGCAAGTTCACCTCGGAAGCAAATCCACTTCGGGACAAGTTCACTTCAGGGCACGATTGCATCAAGATCACCTCGGTTACCAGGCACCTCGGCGTTCGTAACAGGTTGGACCCGAGGGCATCAATTCAGGTAAAATTGACCGACCTCCACTTGCTGATCCCGAAGATCTCGTCACCGGATTCCACGTTTCACGGGATCACGCCTCGTAACAGCTGGCCTTATCTCCTCCGACCGATTTGGACGGTAGCGATATGCCTTATTGGCTGGCGAAGTTATCTCCTGCTAATACGGTAATGGGCCTCATCACGGCTAGAATCCCGGAACCACTCCGAAAAACCCGCGAGGACTCCAGTATATAAAGACCCCAACCCTTCGGGGGGAAAGGTACGCGTAATCACTGCTTACTATCTATCTTGCTTTGTAAACTATCTTCAGCTCACACATTACTGACTTAAGCATCGGAGAGACCTCGCCGGGTAAGCACCCCTAGGTTCTTTGATTCTATCTGTGCAGATCTGCCAAGTCTGTCGTCTACTGGAAGCCAAGTCATCTCCAGCTAGGAGCAGCTAGATTGCATCGCATAGGGCCCCTCAGTCCATAGCAGCCGCCGCTAGCAGTCTGAGCAGCTCCTTGCAAGAACAGTACCTGACAACACCGAAGCTAGCAACACCAATGTGGAGCCGGTGAAGAAGCAACAGAAGCGGCGTCGTAAGGCTCGCCGAGCTGCGGTCCAAAGCCAGCCCGAACAGCCTAAAGGCAAAGAAGAAGCGAGCTCGGGAACAGTGAAGACTACTCCGCTTCTCTTCATGCTGTCTCCTCTATCCCCCGAGCTCCTAGCCGTCCCAATGCCCAAAGACTTTAAGGTACCTCCCCTGGACAAGTACAACGGGTCATTCGACCCGAATGACCACGTAGATTCATTCCAATCACAGATGCACTTAGCCGAGGCTGATGAACCCTGCATGTGCGTTGCTTTCTCCACAACCTTTAAAGGAGTAGCTCGCACATGGTATAGAAACCTCGCGCCCGGGACGATTAAGAGTTGGGCGCAGTTCGTGCAGATCTTCACCTCGCACTTCATCACTAGCAAGAGGTGCCCGAGGTCCCAGGAAAGCCTTCTYGACATAGTCCAGAGGGAGGGAGAATCAATCCGGAGCTACATCAAGAGGTTCAATGACACATGCTTGCAGATCCCCGACCTAGACCTCACCGTGAGACTCACAACTGCCAAAAGAGGCATCACCCATAAAGAGTTCAAGTGGCACGTGGTTGCCAACAAGCCTAAAGATGTTACTGGATTCCTCAAGCTCGTCGACTAGTTCATCGGAACAGAAGAAGAGATGAACTAGAAAAGCGAGAGTGCACCGGAAAAGAGGAAGAGGGAAGGTGAGACCTCAACTAACGGGGATAATAAGCGGAAGTAGGACGAACCAACCAGAGGAGGAAGTAAACCGAATCAACCTTTCCGAACTCCTCTTGTTGAAAGAACAAACTACACACCCTTGAACGCGAAGCGAGCAGAGATCCTTATGGCGATCAATGACGCTTCTTATGTGAAGTGGCCACCTCGGATGAGAGGGGATCCAAACACCAGAAACAGGAATGTATACTGCCACTTCCACAGAGACCATGGTCATAGCACCGAGAATTGTAAGAACCTCCGCAACAAGATAGAAGAGCTCATCCATTGCGGATATCTCAAAAACTTTGTATTAAAAGAAAATACAAATCAAATAGATCAGCAGGGGGAGMAAGGTAGAGATGCTCCTGAATCCAGCAACAGGCAGAACGAGCAGTCGCAGAGACAGCTGCCCGAAGAGAGACCAGTTCGAGGAATAATTCACATAATCACCAGAGGATCGATTGTCGTGGGTTGCACATCAGCCGCGGCGAAGACATTAGCTCGTGAGTTAGAAAGAGAAGAGCAGAATCCTCCGAAGCGGCCGAGGTTAGAAGAGCCCATATTTTCAACGAAGATGACGCGCGCGGGATCCAGTACCCCCATGACGATGCACTCACAATAAAAATAAGGATCAATGATTTCGAAGTGAAGCGCGTCCTGGTCGACTCAGGCAGCTAAACAGATATATTGTTCAATGACGCATTCGACAAGCTGCAACTCTAGGAAAGAGACATCAAGCCTGCGAATACTCCCTTAGTAGGCTTTAGCGGAGAGAAAGTCAAGCCCCTGGGACGAGTTACARTACCTGTAGAGGTCAGTATGTGGCCTAGTATTGCGAGGTTCGACCACACTTTCCTAGTAGTCGCAACTCCCTCCCCGTACAACGCCATAATAGGTCGGCCTATCACCCACGCTCTCTGCGCAGTGGTGTCCACCTATTATTTGGCCATGAAGTTCCCTACGGACTTCGGAGTAGGGGTAGCGCGAGGCGACCGGCTCGAGTCTCGCAAATGCTATGTCGCCGCCCTCAAAGGGAAAGTCAAGGTAGCAGACGACCTCGAGCTAGAGCGACCTACGGAGTACACTGAGGAGTGAGCTTCATCGATAGGAGAGATGGTCCTTATACCCGTTTCGATAGAAGATCCAACCAGGACTCTACAAATCGGCGGGTCAGTTGAGGAACCTTTGCATTCTCAGCTAGTAAGCTTCTTACTTCAAAATTTAAATGTGTTTGCATGGTCCGCGGCAGAGATGCCCGACATAGACCCTAAAATAATAACTCACAAGTTTAACACTGATCTTGTAGTTAGGCCCGGTAGACAGAAGAAATACAACCTAGCCTTGGAGCGCTGGAGAGTAGTCGACGAGGAAGTCGGGAAGCTTCTCGCAGCCGATTTCATCAGGGAGGTCCATTACTTGAGCTGGGTGGCTAACCCCGTTCTGGTAAAAAAGGCCAACGGTAAATGGTGCATGTGCGTCGACTATACCGACCTGAATCGAGTTTGCCCGAAGGATTGCTTCCCACTTC